TGGATCATGGAAGGACTTGAATGTCATGCCAATGATGTTATACTTTTGCAGGTAAGTAGGGAACCATTGAAGGGTTTTGAGCAGAATGTTGATGTATTAATAGAGTTTGTCTGTCAGGATGATCTACACTGAATCTGGGGAGATTTATTAGGAAGCTTTGGCAGTGGCCCAGTGAAGAATAATAAAAGACTTGAACTAGATTGGGGCCATGAGCATACAAAGAAGAGGGTGGTTTGACAGCTGCTCTGGAGGCTGACTAAATGCCAACTGGTAACTGATATGAGGTGTTGATTGAGAACAATTGTACCAGTAACAGAAGGGGTTTGGAGGTGGGAATAAGTGTGGGCCCAAGAGGCATTTAGTGGTGATATAATGAATTTGAAACGGGAAGCTGACTTTCTGCTCACACTCCTCAATAGAGTGGCTAAAAAGTTGGTTCATAAAAGACTCCATGTCTTTTCACCTAGTTTTGAACTTTTTTTTTTGCAAAGCTTCTATGAATAATATAATTGTGTTTGACATCCCAATGACTTCATGTAGTTATTGTCCTATGGTGGCCTTTACTTGGCCCAGTGCAGTTAGTTCTAGCTTTTGGTAGTTGTCGGTAAACCAAGGATGCTGGCTGTGGGATGGGGGTGGTGAGTACACAGAAGTGTTAGCCTGGATCAGTGAGAAAGAAGGTGGGAGCATCTTGGGTTTATTCTGAATTGCACTGAGAAAGCTGGGTCCTGGGGCTGGTGGCTGGAGGCTTGCCTCACTTGGCAGTAGCTAGATGGACAACAAACCCAGACTCGCAAACATGCTTCGCCCAGCCTGGGATTTGGCAAACTTGCTTGCATGCCGGCTGGGAGGCTTGGCTCGACAGCCGACCTACATGTGCACCTGTGATGGTTCTCTTAGGTGAACAGTTTGCAGTGCTTCTACTTGCTAGTGAGAATTCGACCCAGAATAAAGGTCATGCAGTGAAGAATTCTGGAGTCTCTTATACAATAGGCCTGGTTCACAGAAGTGGCTCCAGAAAGTCTTTATAAATTGTAAGATAGTAGTTGTGAGTGATCGAATGATGCTTAAGCCTAGCCTATTTGAGATCAAATTAATGTTATACTTGTCTTTTTTAACAGGCTGGAAGCTTGCTTTAGGGCTTCATACATAATGAGTGGATATGGTAACAAAATGCTCAAGTTTTAATACTTAGAAATTCATAGGTTTATAGTTTGTATCTTTGCTTATGGCTTTCAGTTATGTTGGTTTTGTTTTGTTTTTGATGGTGAAACCTAAGTAGCAAACTTTTATTCATATAGCCCTAATTCCATTGAAAATGTGCTGCCAGTGGATCATTTGTTACATAATTTCCATTCTACACTTTTTAAAATTAATGTTAACTATATTGCACAAATAGGAGTCATAAAACCCTTGCATAATCTTTGTGATTGACTTTATAAAGTGTATTTATAGAAAATTCTGATTAAAAAATTAATCTGCCTAAGCCTTTTGCTTTAGATATATTTAAGGCACACACGTGAGTTTATTTCAAACACATTAATAGAATTTGCTTGACTGTTTACTTCTCAGTTTGAGTGATTTTTGCTCTAGTTTAGGATCACTGACCTTCTTGGAAGATTTAAAGTTGCTCATAAAATGTTAAGACCTTTGATTAGAAATTTAAAATCATGCCTTGAATTTTATGCCTACACGTAGGAAATTTATTTCTGAGAGCTGGCTTGTGTCAGCCTGAACAAGGCTCCTTTTAGGGTTTTTGGTGTCATGAGCTGGGGATGTTGGTTCAAGCCCCGTTGGGGCCGAATGACTTGGATTTACATGGTATCTGTTAAAAAACCAACAATTTCTGAATGTTCCTCACGCGGACTCTGCAGTTGTTAGTTCCTCAAGATCCCTTTCTGCTCTCTCACCTTCTTGCTTATCTGAACTGTCATGACTTTGAAGGGGGTGTCTCTGTATCTGTGTGTTTCTCTTTGTATTGGTGGTTTCTTTGTTCCAAGGAAGAACCTATTTCCTGTTTCTAATGCTCTGTTCAGAAACTCCACGCTCTGCCCCGAAATTGGGTGTCACCTGAGAGATGTCAGAACAAAGCAAGCAGCAAAGCTGTTTGTTCCAGCCCTGACTTTCGGGGGATGATGAACACGGGCATCTTTGGCAGACAGATCTCAAGATGGCTTGATCTTTCCCAAATGGGTTAATGTAACCCAGGGATCTCACTTGAGTTCTGGTGACAACAACTTTACCATCAAATTTTCCTTAGGGGATATCTCTTGAGAGGGAAAAGCCTCTTAAAATGGAGAGCTTTTATGGATTTTATTACTAGTTTAATCTGTATTCTTAAAGGAAATACCTCATCAGATATTGACAATATAGACCATCTGTCTAAATAGGAATATTTTTCTGTAAGCCAATGACAGCCTTACCTTTTTCTCAGATTAACATTCTGGCTTTGTGGGCCAGACATGTTTCAATGTTAGATTGCATCCTTGATTGTTTTAATTTACCTCAGGGTAGAAGAATAATGCTAAAAAAAAAAGGGGGGGGGTTCTTTTAAACAAAAATGGCAACAATTGAAAGCATATTGGAGGAAAACATACCTGGTGTAAAAACTACTATGCAGAATGTTTAAAGGTTTTAAGACTAAAGTTTATTTTTCTAAAACCAGTAGATACCATTTAAGCTTGGTGCTCATGAACTGTTCTAGGGCGAGGGTGACATCTTCACTCAAGATGTCCCCTGCGTCTAACGTAGTACTTACAGATGGAGGGTACACAGGTATGTTACGGAGTAAAAGTGTTAGGTGGGGATGGGCATGCTTTGCTGTTTCTTCCTCGTGAGTGGTCTTGTTGCATCAGGGTCTTTGTGTCTGAAGTGCCAGGAGCTCTTCTTGTTCTCTGTTGGTTTCTCTTGTTTCTTGTAATTACTGCTTGATCCTGCAGAACCTGAGTTTTAAAGAACGAGCTAAAAATAGACTTGTCACTGTAAGTGCTTCCTTGCATCTGCTTTTTTCCTGGGTCCCTGCAAGGTTGACCAGCTTTTCTTGAAGTTGCACATCAAAAACAGTTGGAGAAAGAAGCATCTGTTTAGTCAACATTTCCAGCTTAGAAAACTGTCAGATTTTAACCTTTTTTTTTTTAACCAAGTATGTGCTTGCAGAGCAGTGCTAATTGTGTCGGTGTTGTGAGGGTTCGGTGCAGCCGTATGGAGGTTGCTCAGGCCTGGCTAATCTTTTTGGGTTGTCCGTCATGCCATATGCAGGGTTTACCCAGAGACACAGTGTCCTCCAGGCAAGTGTCTGTGGCGTCCTGTTTTCTGTTGGGTCGTTTGACTTTTTTTTTTTTTTTTTAACGTTTATTTATTTTTGAGACAGAGCATGAACAGGGGAGGGGCAGAGAGAGGGAGACACAGAATCTGAAACAGGCTCCAGGCTCTGAGCTGTCAGCACAGAGCCCAACGCGGGGCTCGAACCCACGGACTGTGAGATCATGACCTGAGCCGAAGTCGGACGCTCAACTGACCAAGCCACCCAGGCGCCCTGGGTCGTTTGATTTTTTAAACGCCAAAGATGCACTAGATGCTAGCGGAGTCTGAAACTGATTCCTCCTAGGTTTGCTCAAGATCCAGTGGGAGAATACTGGCTTGGGGTTCAGAGCAGAATGTGGGTCCCAGCCTTCACTGCCTTCAGCTGAATTATCTTGGTCCAGTCTCCTGTTTTTTCACATAGGAAATGGGAGTGATCACGCCTGCCTAATGCCTATGAAGAACCTGGTACACAGTGTCTGCTTGAAGAAGTGATTTTGAGGGTGAAAGTAGGCAGCAGTGTCCTCTTAGACCCCCACATAAAAGTACATGTGTTTCATTGTTTTTAATGGCTTTTACGTAATCTCTATTGGGCCCTGTTGCTGTCATTCTCTCCAACCCCTGCTATGAATGAACACTCCCAATTGAGAATGTTAGAAGTTAGAAGCCCAGTTGTCATTTCCTCGATTCCCTTTTGGTTTTGATGGTTGGGGGACCTTTTAAAAAAACTTTTCAGTGACACCATAACCTTATCTTTTGTTTCTTTTATTTTTTTAGAGAGAGCGTGAGCAGGGGGAGAGGGGCAGAGAGAGAGAGAGAGAAAGAAAGAAAGAATATCTTAAGCAGTCTCAATGCAGAGCCCTGCATGGGATTTGATCCCATGACCTTGGGATCATGACCTGAACCAAAATCAAGAGTTGGACACTCAACCGACTGAGCCACACAGGCAACCCTAACCTTATGTTTTACCTGCATAAATAAGAAGCCTCCCTCCTGGGCTTTTAGGAAAGACGTAGGAGGTGTGATGTACAGTCTCATTATAGAAAGATAATTAATTCTACTGGTTTTTGCCAAAGGATGCTTATTAGTGTATTGAGACATAGCATTCAGAATAATTTACTAAATATGTTTTGTGATTGTGACATCTCTTCCTTCTTTACACACATAAAAATCTGAGTAAACTAATTCATTTAATTAAAACTGACTGTAAAATTTCTATTTTTAATATAATTTTTATGATGTTATATAGTTTGAAAAGTACTGAAGGGTGTGTGTGTGTGTGTGTGTGTTTGAATAGGGATATTTTTTGAAAACGTTAGTTTTATATTTGAAGTTTCCATCCTTACCTCATCCCTAGCTTCCCAATTCCTCTCTACAGAGGCAACAACTTCTATGTTTTTAAAAACTAAACAGTCTGTATTTAATCATGGTTTGATTGATGCTCAGGTGTATTTGCCCTGTCACTTGTGGCCTTTTGGCTCAGGCCAGGAGCTTATGTACGTGGACTCTAACTTGTGGTCGTGAATTAGAGGACCCTCGGAGCAGGTTACACACTAGGTGTGCACTTGGGTATCAGCAGAAATGAGGATTGTAGCTTCTGTGATGATACTTCTTACTCGGTGTAATCAGCTTGTGGAGCCAGTGTTTCCGTGGCTTTTGAGTGTCTCAATTCCCACATCTGTGATTTTTCCTTTTTCCAGTTGCAGCATGAGAAAGCCGAACTAGAACAGCATCTCGAACAAGAGCAGGAATTCCAGGTCAACAAACTGATGAAGAAAATTAAAAAACTGGAGAATGATACCATTTCGAAGCAGCTTACATTAGAGCAGGTAAGAATCTATAGTTTTCTCAATACACTTTTTTCCTCATATTATTCTCCCTCACCTTATTCTTTTTGGCCTCAGATACCCTGGAGCATGTGAGTGAAAAATATTTTTCAGCTGTTTCTTCCCACAGTGGAGACTTCATTTTTGTAGTAAGATTGACAAGTCTGTGGAGCACCTGCTCTCTCTGTCTCACACTTTCTCTTTTTTCAACTGCAATTAATAAAGTTTCTGGAGATATACTGTGATGTACTGACTTATAGGTAGGAAATGTTAAGGTTCCTTTTACAAAGGGGGAACAATGTGTTTTTAACCACAGGATAGATTCTGTGAAAGTTCCTGAGACAGTGTTGCTGTGGAACTAAAACTTTTTTTTAAGGGGTTCTTGAGAAGAGGCAATTAGCATTTTTCTTCTCTGAATTATTAGCAATATGATATGAACCCTATCTTTTCCCAATGTGATTTGTTGGTACAGATATGGAGGCATAGATTTGGTTGCTTATCCTGACTCAGCCTCTCATTAGTTGTATGACCTTGCATTACCTTCTCTGGGCCCAGCTTTTCCATTTGTAAACAGAGAAGGGCAAACTAAAATCAGGAATGGCAAGCTTAACCAGGTACAAAAGGTGGCGAGTCATAGTGTACAATCCCTTTGTCCACTGCCCTCTGCAAATGTTGGTGTTTGAGCAGGGTCCTCACCTTGGGAGTCCAGACTGGGTCTTGTGCTCCTTCAACACACAGAACTGTGGGCAGCCATTGTCAGCCCATCTGCGTTAGTATGTCAGACAAAAGTACCTGTTATCCCTAGTCTAGATGCTCGCTAATGCTTTTGCCCCAATCGAATGTCCTGAAATTTTACTTTCCCTAAGCTAATTATAAGAAGCTGACCATACTGTACAGCGATGTGGTTTCCATGTAAAATTCAGCGTATTGACGAAGGTCTTTTAGCTCTTTGTGATTTCAATCCTGATTGCCAGTTTGACGGTTTGGCTAAGCCTTTCATGCAAAGTTGTCTGATTTATCCCGACTTTAGGGTCTTTCTCTGTATCTTAGTTCATGCTGACTGATTGTGGAATCTACCCAGGGCCGTTCTAGTTCCATTATTTTACCTGAGAACGAAATGGTGATGGGAATGTCAGGTTTGGGAAGAAGTCCAGGTTGGCTTTAAACTCATCTAACTGACTTTTGTTTTCTGTGTTATTCTTGTATCTCCGTATATCAAAAGAAAGGGATGTCACTGGGTTTTCTAAGATTGTGAATAATGGTCCTAAAAACATTTTTCTATCCCTTCCAGGTAAAAGAAAAAAAAGTTCTATTTTCAAAGGTTGGCTATTTGATATACATCCAGAGTAATCTATACTTACCATTCATCTTTGGAATTCAGATGCAGTATATAAATTTGGAAAAATCCACACGCTGTTGGAAAACATTTTGTTCCAGAGTTCACCTGTTTAATTCCTAGGATAGGGGACAACCAGTTCCGTTCAAGTTAAAGCTTTGAAGATTCTTGTTGAAGGTCTCTGACACACCAAGTACTTGTTACTGATACTTGTTCATCAAGAGCTAACCAAGTGACCAAGTGAAACTCTCAGTGCTTTGTGTTGTGAGAACTTCATTTGGTCACAGTGTTCATGGTGATGGCTGAGTGTTAATGGCTTCTTTCTTGTATTTGCAGAAGTTCTTAAGGAGTCTATGGGACAGGGGCTGTGACTCCAGGGTTTAGTGTGGCCACAAGGTGGAGGTAGTGGTCTGGCATCAGAGAGAGGACAGTTTGGTCTTCTAGTCTATGGGAGAGAGAGAACGAGTTGTTATACTGTCTAAAGGCTCCAGCGACTTTCATCATGGAAACCCTTTAAAATGATTCCAAGGCATACATTCTTGCCAGGTTAATGACTTAATACACGTTTAGGGTTATTTCACACCTCAACAATTAAGAAATGGATTTCCACAATGGAATATATGCATTGTAAAGCCCTATCCTGAAAATAAGCCTCAGATCTGGGATGTAAAGTTTCTATTTAACATCTTTAAGTGTTTACTTATTTTTGAGAGAGAGCGCGCACATGCATGCACACGAGTGGGAAGGGGCAGGGAGAGAGAGAGACACAGAATCAGAAGCAGGCTCCAGGCTCTGAGCTGTCAGCACAGAGCCCCACACGGGGTTCAAACCCACAAAGGATGAGATCATGACCTGAGCCATAAGTCGGACACTTAACCGACTGAGCCACCCAGGGGCCCCTCAAAGTCCTGTTTTAATTAAGATGAGAAACTGCCCCCACCCCGACCCCTGCTTTGTTTTAGTATGTCCAGGATGATTAAATGTTGGGGATCTTTTGCTGTATTCTGTTTAGCTACAAATAATTTTAGTCAATGCTTAAGGGGGAACAGTTTTTCCCCCTCCAGTAGAAATAAATCTCTGTTTCTATGAATGTGATCTGATCCTCTCTTAGGATTATCATCCATATGATATACTATATGTCACAGTCTCTGTTATAGAATATATTCTGTATGATAGGTTATCAGAAGAGCAAAGGCATGTACTATATTATGTATTATATAGATTTATATGTAGTACATGGCTTTACTCTTCTGACAATAAACATAGTTTTTAAACTGTAAGCTATTTGAAGGCAATTATCCCATGTGTCTTATGGTATACCACTGCTTTGCTGGAAGAGTTTAAGTGTAGATTTGTCCAGGTAACTGTCATTTGTGTTTTGGAAGGAGGTACAGTATAGTGTTCAGGGCCTGGATACTGGATTCAAGAGGAACTGGATGTGAACCTGGTTCTTCTGCTTAATATCTTAGTTCACTTTTCGGGGGTGGGTAGTAGTGGTGGTAGTGGCTTTATTGAGATATAATTCACATACCATAAAAATCATCCATTTAAAATGTACAACTCATTGGCTTTTAGTATATTCAGAGTTGTGTAGCCAAAACCACAAACAATTTTAGAGCATTTTCATTACCTCAAAAAGAAACCCTGTACCCTTCAGCTGTCACTATGAATTTCCCATTCCCTTTAAGCAGCCACTACTCTGTATTTGCTCATGCTGGATACTTAATAAAAATGAAATCATATATAGTATGTCATCTTTTGTGAGTGGCTTCTTTCATTTAATAAAAGGCTTGTATCCATGTTATAGCATGTATTGGTACTTGACTCCTTTTCCTGACTGAATGATGTTTCACTGTGTGGATATATCCTATTTTGTGTATGTGTTCATCATTTGATGGACATTTTGGGTTGTTTCTATCTTTTGGTTATTAGGAATAATGCGGCTGTGAACATTCACGTACAGTTTTTCATGTGGATATATGTTTTCATTTTTCTTGGGCGTATACCTAGGAGTGGAGTTGCTGGACTACATGGTAACTCCATGTTTACCTTTTGGGGAGAGTGCTAGACTGTTTTTCAAAGTGGCTGTGCCATATTGATTATAGCATCCTGGTAAATGTGAACCGGTATCTCATTGTGGTTTTGTATTTCCCTGGTGACTAATGATTTTGAGAATCTTTTCATGTGCTAATTGGCTATTTTTCATATCTTTGAGAAAAATGCCCATTCAAGATCATTTTATTATTGAATTCTAAGAGTTCCTTATATATTCTAGATACATTTCCCTTATCACATATATCATTTGCAACTCACATGCCAGGGGACCCTCACTGTAGACTAGGATTAGTCTGGTCAACATGACTTTAGTGCTTTTATGTTTTGTTTCGTTTTGTTTTTTTTAACTGGTGGTCACTGCCTGCAAACCCTTATTTGAGAATTTTTGTTTAAACATGGTCATTGTTTGTCTCTTATTTGGCATTCACATTTTCTTAGGAGACAGTAAGAATATCTAGAACTTGGAATATTCTTTTAGTGTCAAGATATCTTAATCTTGAATGTTTTCTGCCAACCAGGAAGAGTTTTTATTATTTCTCTGGAGAAGGATAACTAGCATCAAAAGGTAGTCCACATTTGCCTATTTATTAAGTGAAGTTCAACTCAGCAGCTCTGGAGGGCCCTCTGTGCACTTGGCATGGAAAACTATGGGAAAGAAGAAAATAGTGGCCATAAGCAGGTGGACTAGATACTTAATCATTCTTAGGTAGTACAACAGAAAAAAGTGGAATAAGTTAATGGAGAATTAGTCCCATAATTCAGCTAACATTTACATCGTGAACAGGATTGCCTGCCAGGTACCAGATGCCTTACTCTTTTTCTTTTCTCTAGCTGGCATAGTGAGTATAGTTTTCTCTGTTACTTCTGGAATTTGGTCCATCATCTTTTATCTGAGCTATATCCTGTCCCCAAAGCAAAGACACTGTTTGTCTAAAGCTGTATTCAGAATGGGATGGCAATTTCATTCATTAGGATCCATTTTTTTAATCTGTCTGTATTAAAGTTTATTTAAGTCGGGGCGCCTGGGTGGCGCAGTCGGTTAGGCGTCCGACTTCAGCCAGGTCACGATCTCGCGGTCCGTGAGTTCGAGCCCCGCGTCAGGCTCTGGGCTGATGGCTCAGAGCCTGGAGCCTGCTTCCGATTCTGTGTCTCCCTCTCTCTCTGCCCCTCCCCCGTTCATGCTCTGTCTCTCTCTGTCCCAAAAATAAATAAACGTTGAAAAAAAAAAATTTAAAAAAAAAAAAAATAAAAAAAAAAAAAAGTTTATTTAAGTCATGTCTTCAACCGGTATGGGGCTCGAACTCACGACCTTGAGATGAAGAATTGCTTGCTCTTCTGACTGAGCCAGCCAGGCACCCCTCATTAGCATCCGTTTATAAACATCGTATCCCATGTAGTTTTTAGGGAAACTCTCACCTTGGTTCAAATCTTCCTTCCATCTGAATAAACTGTATGCCTTCAGGCAAGCAATTTGAGCTCTTTTGTGAAATAGACATTAGTACCTAATTCCTAGGTGTGTTGAGGGGATTAATGTTGCATCCTGCCTTTCCTCACACTACATGCATATTGAAGTTCTTCATTCCTCCACTCAGAATCCTTCCAGTGTGGACTG